CTTGATCAATACGCAACACCATGATACACGGAAAAGATTGAAGTTGTCAAGGATTTCGTTTTACTTGGATCCACAGTCAACATCCATGGAAGCAGCAGTCAAGAAATCAAATGACACACTGCACTGGGCAAATCTGCTGCAAAAGACCTGTTTAAAGTGTTGAAAAGCAAAGATATCACCTTCAAGACTAAGATGTGCCTGACCCAAGCCATGGTGTTTTCAATCGCCTCATATGCATGTGGAAGCTAGACAATGAATAAGAAAGCCCGAAGAACTGATGCCTTTGAATTGTGGTGTTGGTGAAGAACATTGAATATATCATGGACTTTCAAAAGAACGAACAAATCTATCTTGGAAGAAGTACAGCCGGAATGCTCCTTAGAAGCTAGGACAGCGAGACTTCATCTCGTGTACTTTGAACATATTATCAGGAGGGACCAATCCCTGGAAAAGGACATCATGCTCATTAAAGCAGAGGGTCATCAAATAAGAGGAAGAGCCTCAACGAGACAGACTGGCACAGTGGCTGCAACAACGAGCTCAAGCACAGCAGTGACTGTGAGGACAGCGCAGGGCCGGGCAGGGTTTCGTTCTGCTTCTATGTGGGGTCGCTATGAGCCGGAGCTACCTCGACAGCACTAACAATAGTCTCGAGCTAACAATTTATAAGTCAGCTCCTAGTGAATGGAAGAAAAGTGTTCCATGTACCATATGAGCCAAATAATTCTACAAACCTGGTATTTAACAGAATATTCATTTCAGTGATAGAAAATTCAAAATACTACCAACAAAGCAGAAAAATTACTTTTTTAAAAAAAATACATAATTAAAGAGGAGAAAAACACGGTCAAGAAACTAAGGAGCACTTGTGTTACAAAAACAACAGTAAAACTCATAATAAATAAGACTAGAGAGAGAAACATCCGTATGGAGTCGGAGTCCAAAGTTATCTCTCTCTCCTTGTGACTGACTTACCTTACTTGGAATCGTATGTGACCTTGTATTTCCTTCTGGCAATTCTGGTGGGGAATGCACATCAGACAGATCTAGTGCACCCTAAAATATTTCACAATTTAAAGTTAAAACATTAAAACACACACATACACAAATGAATATAATACACTTCAATGGAATTTTAGCATTTAAAAACTCTACATACACCATGTTGGATTTTTATTTGTTGCTAATTAATGTAAACATCCTTATTACATTTTCTCCTGCCAGAATAAAAAAACAAAACAAAAAACCCCCAAAACCACATGGACTCTAACTGCTTGCAGTTTTTCACCCCCTCTGCCTGAGCAGGGGAACCAGTCTGTACTACACGCCAGCCGACCATCCCCGTTCTCACTCCCTCGCCTCGCTCTCTCCCTACTCTGCAGACTAACCTCTTCTGATCCTCAAACTGCGGCTTCCTTACTCTTCCTTCCTGGCCTTGGCTTTACTTCCCTACTTCACACACCTAAGGAAACAACAGCAAACAGCAACTCTCTCAGAGAAACCCTACCCCTCAAGCAGCAGGGGTCTTCTCTGCTCTCTGGGGTTTCTCCATCCGTCACTGCACTCTCTCTGTCCGGGCTTCTCTAGCAGTCCCGTGTATCTGTCACTGGACTCTCTCTGTCCCGGCTTCTCTAGCAGTCCCGTGTACCCGTCACTGCACTCTCTCTGTCCCGGCTTCTCTAGCAGTCCCGTGTATCTGTCACTGCACTCTCTCTGTCCGGGCTTCTCTAGCAGTCCCATGTATCTGTCACTGGACTCTCTCTGTCCCGGCTTCTCTAGCAGTCCCGTGTATCTGTCACTGGACTCTCTCTGTCCCGGCTTCTCCAGCAGTCCCGTGTACCCGTCACTGCACTTTCTCTGTCCCGGCTTCTCTAGCAGTCCCGTGTATCTGTCACTGCACTCTCTTGTCCCGGCTTCTCTAGCAGT